TGGGGAGTGCTGGGAGGAACTGGGAGGGAGTTTGAGATAGACTGGTTTAAACTGGGGAAGGGATTGGGGTGCTTAGGATGGCTGGGAAGGGATTTGAAGAATATTGGAGAGGGTGGGATGAGGTTCTGGGGGTCCTGGTGGGCACTGGGAGGGAGTTTGGGGGTGCTGGGTGTCACTGGGAGGGATCTGAGTGAGTCTGGAGGAGCGGGAAGGAGATTGGGCATTGGAAAGCAGGGATTGGGATGAGATTGGTTGATACAGGGAGAGACTGGGAAGAGACTGGGAGGGGACTTGATGAGTCCTGGTGGGGCTGGAAGGGACTGGGAGAGGGATTGGGGGTCCTGGAGCAGTGGGGGGAAATTGGGAGGGGGCTGTGGGATCCTGAGAAGAACAGGAGGGGCTCAGGTGGGTCCTGTGGGGGCTGGGAAGAGACAATAGGAATATTGATCTAATATCAGTATAAATCTTTTAATGGAAGAAAAATCTCTCCAACAGTTTAAAGTTACAAAGTGGATGTTTAATCCCAGCACTGGGCGAGTGCGGGAGTCACCCCTTAATCACACTGCAAGTTGACAAAAGATTCCAGTGTCTATTTATTTACAAAAGTCTTGAATTTCCAAAATACTAATACATATTAATACTAATAGATATTCATAATGCTTAAAACCTCCCATGCTCCACTTCGGGTTAAAATTCACAGCAATGAGTTTAAAATGTCATTATGCCTGCGTGCTTGGCTCCCTAATTTGAGGAGGAGGTCGTTTTGGTGAGGAGGGGTCATCAAGAGATGAAGGGAAACTGCTCTTCCTCACTCTGACCTTTCTACGTTTACAATGGTTCACATTAGAAATGACATTTGGTACAACTCCAGGTTCCTCCCTTGTGACTTTTAAATGGGTTTCCAGATGTAAGGTCTGTGATCTTCCTGAACCCGTTTATCAGTTTCTCTTTTCTCATTATAAGCACAGCTGAACAAACATACAATGACAAGTAATTTTTTACCTAAGTCCTAAGACTCAATATCTCAAATCCTGCTTCTCACTTAATCATTAACTCTAACTAGTTCCAGCAAGGCCTATCTCTTGCTAAGATATCTTTCTAAAATCCTTAATTGTTTAAAATTAGTGACTCCAAAGGAGGTTTCAGAGGGTCCTGGGTGGGCTGGGGGAGACTGGGAGGGTACTTTGAGGTACTTGGAAGGGTCTGTGAGAGGTTTTCAGGCTCCTGACCTCTGCAGACCCCCCAGAGATGCCGTCAAACGCTGCCCACAGCAAGGTGCTGACGGGGATCAGGGGTACCATGTTGGGTTTCGTCTTTCTGGTGCAGGGGCTCGGCTTATACCTGAGCAAGAATGTGAGAGGGGGTCCCTAGGTTGGGATATCCCCTCCCCCCAGCATGTGTGTTCCTTCAGGGCCCCCAAGGCTGGTGTCACCCTCTTTTCTCTGCCCACACAGCTCCTGAGGCAGCGAGAAAAGGTTCTCTAGGATTGAAAGTCAACAAAACCACTCTCCTCAAGGAATTCCCATTGTTGGTCTGTGTCCTGACAGACTTTCACTCCCCTGCTTTCATCCAGGTGCCCACAGGGAGCCAGGAAGATGTGGAGCCTCCCAGCCAGGTGCCTTCCCAACATGGATCACCAGGACCACGGATCACCAGGGCTCTGCCCAACGGGGGTCACTGGGGATCATCCAACGCCGATCCTCCCATGGGGGATGGAGCTGGAGCAGCGCACGAAGCTCTTCCCACACTCGGGGCACTCGCAGGGCTTCCCTTACTGGTGCCTGCGTTGGTGTTTGGTCAAGGCTGAGCTGTCTGAGAAGCTCTTCCCACACTGGGGACACTCGTAGGGCCTCTCCCCAGTGTGGATGCGCCGGTGGACGGTGAGGGTGGCGTTTTGCTGGAAGCCCTTCCCGCAGTCGGGGCAGCGGAAGGGCCTCTCCTCTGTGTGAATCCGCTCATGTCTGAGGACGTCGGAGCTGGTCTGAAACCTCTTCCCACACTGGGGACACTCGTAGGGCCTCTCCCCAGTGTGGATGCGCTGGTGTTTTCTCAGGGTGGAGCTCCACCCAAAGCTCTTCCCACATTCCAAGCAGGTGTAGGGTCGTTCCCCCGTGTGGATCACCTGGTGTTTCATCAGGCAAGACGTGTTGGTGAAGCTCTTTCCACATTTCCCACACTCATAGGGCCGTTCCCCAGTGTGGATCACCTGGTGTGCCCTCAGGTTGGAGCTGTGGCTGAAGCTCTTCCCACATTCCCCACACTCGTAGGGCTTTTCCCCAGTGTGGATCACCTGGTGCTGGATCAGCCTGGAGCTGTACCTGAAACCCTTCCCACATTCCAAGCACTTGTGGGGCTTCTCCCCCAGCTCTGAGCTCCGGCTGGATCTCTGGCCGTGTTCCTGGCACTGGGGGGATCTTTCCTCCTCGCAGCTCCCTGGGCTGGGTTTGCAGCCCCTCCTTGTGTGGCATCTCCAGGGCTTTTCCTCCTCCTCCATCTTGCCACGCTTTGAGAACATAAAATCCTGGTTGGGGGGAAAAAACCAACAGGAGAGCGGCTTGGACTGCGGGTTCCTCCTTGCCCAAGTTCATCCCAGGAAGTCACTGGGCATCTTATGATCTTGAGGCATAAGAACCTCCAGGACACCAAGACTCAGCCCAAATATCCTCCAAATATCAAAACAGATCAAAAACTGATCAAACAACAAGACTCAGGCAAAATCCCCTCCAAAATAGAAAGGTTCAGCCCTCACAAAAACCCAAAGCACCAACATTTAGTCCAATAAAGCTCAGAAACACCAAGATTCAGCCCCGTGAAAATCGTGGGTCCCCCTCCCCAGTCACCTGCTGCATGTGGGGAGGGGGGGGCAACACTCCTGAGGCTGGGGGAGCTGGAGATAAAGGGAGAAACTTTGTGTTGTTTCCTCTTCCTGCTCCTTCTCCTCCTCCTGTGTCCCTACTCTACCTCACACTCCTCTTCCTCCTTCTGCACAGCCCCAGGTACATATTTGGACCATTTTGTTCTTCAGCCCTGCTTCTCCTTCCCTTCTCCTCCTGCCCCCAGGCCCAGCACCCACTGCCGCCTCCCTCTTCCCCCCCAGTCCCACAGCATCCCACCGCAGGGGCACGGATGGAGCTGGGCCAGCTCGGCCTGGGGCAGCGCTGGGCTCTCGGCCGCTTCCGCCCGCACTCGCTCCCCACTGCAGCCGCTCCCGCCACCACAGCGCGGGGGGGCCCGGCCTTGGCGCTCCCCCCTCCCACCTCCCC